TAATGAAATATGATAGCGCTGGTCCATTTTTCTCTTCGATTGATGACAAAATAAATTACTCATTACCATATTGCTTAGTTCATTAACCGCCTCCATCAGTTATATAAAATAATCCATACCTGCCCTTCACCAATTTGTAATCGACAGCAAACAGCTGGTCCAACCAATCACATGCCAGAAATTCGGAAACCACATCTTGACGATTCACGCGTTTACGACAAAGAAATGGAACAAATGAACTTCACATGAGACCCCTTTTACCAAATGCGAAAGCATGTGCGGGCTAAGGTTAAGGGTCCGTTTGGGGCAGCTTATAAGTGTGGGCGGCGTTTTGAAAACGTCGTCATACCGTTTGGTTCGCGTTTTTTGCCAGCTTATCGGAAACTGCGTTTGGGTTTTTACACTAAACGCAGGCCGCGGGCCGAGAAACGCACAAGCTGCCCCAAACGGACCCTAAGTGGATTTTGAGCCGACTCTTTTGTTCATGAGTTGGCGCAATTAAAAAAATTTTAATATTAAAAATATTTTAAAAATAAAAAAAAATTATTTATTTAAAAACAATTTACTAAAAGTATTTCAAATTTATATTATTTTTGTATAAAGTTATTGAATTCACATTTTTTTCTGTGAATCACACTCGAGAAATAGAGCGCAAACATTGAGAGAGAGTACATAGAGGGACAAAGTAACGAACAATCATAAACAGTAATCAATTTGTGCATATTAGATTTTTTTTTTTTCATTACAAAAATTGTCCTCTATTTATAGGGGAAGAATTATTAAAAAATTGTAATAATACTCTTAATCCTATGCAGTCGATTGGAGATGGACGACTAACACATATCAAGCATACAAGAACATGGTCAGGCAGATTGAAACCTTTTGAGGCCGAGTAGAACCTGACTGGACCGAACAAAGCTTGGTTAGGTCGACTACAACCTGCTCGGGTCGACCGAAACTTGACTTTGGCTAACTAGAAATTGGTCAAGCCAAACAAAGCAAGTCAGGTTTGACTTGAACTTGGCCATACCAACTTGAACTTGACTTGGTCGACTAAAAACTGGTATGGATGAATAGAGTTGTTCGGCCATAACAGAGCAGCCAAGGTCGGGTCGAGTGGAATCTAGCCAAGCCGATTGGAACCTGACGTAGTTGTGCAACATGGCCGAACCAAACAAAAAACTTGTCGGGTCGAAAAGAGCTAGCCGAGGCAAACATAGCGGGTCAAGTCGATTTGTCGAGTTTAATAGGTTTTTTGGATAATCTCAAAACCTTAAAATCCAAAGGAATACTTCTGTCACATATTAGTTTATGATTTTCTTATTTTTTTGAAGTACATATGTTAAAAAAAATAAGAGAATAATAAATATGAAACTAAAATTATTCCTCCTTATATTGCATGATTCTCTCCAAATACAAGTTAAAAAACTGAGTCAAAATGATGAGGTTTCTATTATGACGACTATTTTTCTGCATGAGGGCTCTCATATAAGATTCCTCCAATTGACATTTTTGGATCATCTTCAAGGAATAGTCTCATAAATTGCAAGCTCATTAATATTACAGTTGACACAGTTTTGTAAGGAGAATTCTCAAGTGTTATGAGTGAAATAGATCTTTTCTTTTTCAACTAGATTGACTATTTCCTTTTAATATGACTCGATTATTGACATGCGCCAATTTTACGTCATTTTATCTGTTATTTTCCTTACATTTTACCTCATAAATTAATTTATTTATCACAAATTTACACTTGAGAAATGTATTTTGTTCATGTTGTGCAAGATGCTAAAATTGAACACGAACAAAAATGAACGAGAAATGCTAATAGAAAAGTCCCCCTAAGTCGTGTTACCATTCCTAAAGGTGGCATGATCACACCGCTGATCGATCAAAACTAGCGTGACCGTGACGAAAATGGCGTGATCATGTCGGAAATGCTGTTACCACACCAGAAAAGAAGTGATCATCCTGTAAATGGTGTGACCACGCCATCATGTTCAATAGGGTGGTGTGGCTATGCCACAATCCGGCGTAGCCACGCCAGCCCTAATAGAAGAATGGAGAGACCATAACAAAAATGGGTGTGACCATGCCGATGAGCGGGAAACACTTTATGAAAGAAATTTGATGAGGTAAACCTTGATTCATTCTATAAAATCAAATCATCGGGCTTATAAGAAAGATTTCTGCACCAAAGAAGCCTTGGAGTCTGAAAGAAGAGAGTCCGTGAGAGATTTTGAGGGATCTCCTAAGGGTTGTCTTTCTTTCGGGTAGAAACCTCCAAGGGAGAGTTTTTCTTTACTTTGTGAAATGTGAATGATTGTGTACGAGGGATAGTTGTTGTCTTTGTAGTTGAAACAACTTCTTGTAAGTTATTCATGTTTATGTTGCTTGCAATGGATTCTCATGTGATATCCTTCGCTATGGTTCTCTTCGTAATACACGACTAAGCTTTGCTTCATTTCTCTGTAAAGTAGGTAGTAGTGGACTTATTATGGTTTTTTTTTCCATAATGGCTTTCCGTTAGACTCTTTTTCGAGATTTTCACGACCAATGTTGTTGGTTAACCTCCAATCTTCCTTTACACCTAGATAGAATTAAGATGTTAAAATACTTTGTAAAATTATAACCTCTAACCGTTGCGTAGTGGAAAAGAATGATTAACCACATAAATCGAAGAGAATAGACATATCTCGGTGAAATTCTGCAATCATTATAGGGGATCAGAAATGCCATGCGGAGTGCCGTGTGGAATGAGGAAGCCTCAACTTTATAAATTTTAAACTTCTTTTGATCTAGACATAGACATAATGAATACATTGTCTCGATTTTCAACAATCACATAGGGAAACAATTAGGAAAATCATGATCGCCACAATCCCCGAATCACAGAGGCACAAGCCTCACTTGTCTTGAAGGAACTCATTAATTTTTCTCTCATGTTTCTCTGCTTTCTTTTACTTCCAAGTATTCTATATTGTTAGGATCTTAGGACTTAAAAACCTTCTTTTGGTAATTGCCAAGCTAAGTTAATTGAATTAATAAACTAGAGATTTTTCTGTGGAAGTCAATAATATTGTACTTTTCCTGTGGGATCGATACATGATACTCTTGAGCCGCATTACTACATAACACATGCACCTACGTTGTATGACAGATTTACGTTTCGGTAAGTTTTGGCTTCTCCATTATAAGGAAATTTGAGTAGTTTCATTAAATTCAGACTATTATTTGCCCGGAGCCGTAGTTCTCCTACATTGAGTAGTCACCATAAGTTTTCAACTTTACTTAGACCGAGATAACGTGGTATCAACCCTAGGATAACTGATTTTATTATTTATTTGACTGAGTTATATTTTGAAAATAAACTTCTCCAAAGTCGTGACTAGCATTCGACTATTAAGTTGTGCAGGGTCCAAAAAATATAGATTATTTTCCTCTTACTCTTTAGAAACTTGCTCGTGAGATGTAAGTTTCTTGAGTGTTATGAGTAAATTTACGTTGAAGAAGTATGGAAAAAGAAGATAGATGACTTATATTATTTTTTGGCTCAACTCCTTTATGATTATCTTCTCTTAGACAAATTATTTTCATCAAAATGTTTTTTGGAAATCTTTTTTGGGAAAGTAATTTTTTTAGTTATTTGAAGCTTATTGAGTCGACTGGAATCTAGACAGACTGAGTTAGAGTTGGTCGGGCTGATAGGAACCTGGACTAGCTGAACGGAACCCGACCGAGCCAATTGAAACCTAGCTAGGTTGAATTGGAGCTGGCCGAGCTAGTTGGGATTGGGCTTGACCAGGTAATACTGGAGCTGGCTAGACCAAACTAGAGCTGGCCGAGCCGAGTAGGAGCTGGTCAGGCCGATAGGGAGCTGACCGAGCTAAACTTGATCTTGGGTGGGTCGAACTAGAACTAACCGAGCCAAATTTGATTCTTGATTATTCACCTTGTGTCACTGCTCTTCTTGTTAGTGGCATGATATATGTTTACCACACCTTTTAGGATATTGAATTAAAAAAAAAATTGTGAATCACACTAAGAAATATATGATAAAGTAAGGGGAGAGAAGGTGATGAGGGAATGAACAATAATGAATAGTAATCAATCTTTTCTATTAGAATTTTCTCTTTTCATTACAAATAATGATCCTCTAATTATAGGAGAATTAATTATTATAAAATTAAAATAATATTTCTGGTCATATGCAATCAGATGGAGATGTCCAACTAGAGCCTATCAGGTCAACTGAAATCTGTTCGGGTTGAGTGAAATCTGAACAAGCCGAGTGGAACTTAGCTGGGTCGACTGAAATCTGGCCCGACAAACCCAATTGGAACGTGTCCGGGTCGACCTGAATCTGGCCAGGCCGGTTTGAACCTGATCTGACCGAATTGGAACCTGACTTGTTTGACCAAAAATTTGTGGGACGAACAAAACCTGTCCTAACCGACTAGAGCTTAGTGGGGCCGAATGGAACTTGATTTGGTCGACTAGCAATTGACCAAGTTGAATGGAGCTGGCCAAATCAAACGAAGCAATCCGGGTCGATTAGAGCTGGCTTAGCCTGACCGAACAAAGCTGGTGGGGCCTAATGGAGCTAATCGGGCTGACTAGTCGAGTTCAACAGACTCTTTAGGTAACCTTAGCATCTTAAAATTTGAAGGAATATTTTTGTTATACATAAATAATAATAATTACAGTTTTCTAATTACTTGTTCTTGTGAACATTTTAATTACAATAATTATTTGATTCGAATTATTTTTTTATCCAAATAGTCTGACAAATCTTGAAATTAACTTAAATTCAAAAATTATATTTAAATTTAATTCCTACTTTATTAAAAATCAGGATGCACAGAGCTCAGATCCAAGACATCGCAGCCGTAGATTCTAAAGTGGGGCCCGCAATGGAAACTGTCGGGCCCAGGTGGGCCACAGTGACCCGCGTCGAGGTAAATCAGTAAATCCTGAAATGAAATCCACCGAACCTCAGCCCATCAACTCACCCAGACCCATCTTGCCTCCTACTTTGCTCGGCTTGTACTCCCCTCCTCCCTCTTCTCCTCCCCCCTCCGGTACGGCATACGGCCGCCGGATCCAGGCGATTTTGAATCTGCTGCCGCCTCCTCCGCCAAGCTTGATCTAGAAATTAATTCTTTTTTTCTTCTGTTCCTCCAGCGATATGGAGGACTTGGGGCTCCTAGCCCGGGACTTTGGCATCCGACCCCAGGGCAAGTCTGCTCCCATGGCGGCCTCTAGATCCTCCGCTTTGGGTGGATCCGTCCGAACCACTTCTTCCGTCCCGTCTTGGAACAAGCCAAGATCGGGCTCGTCTACTGATGACCCCTTTTTTGGCGGCGGCGTTGGCGGAGGAGGTATATCTGCCGATCGGATTCCTTCCTCCTACGAAGACGTGTTTGGAGGACCGCCTCAAAAGTCTGCCTCCCCGCCCTCGATTGATTCCATCTTCGATGGGTTTAAAGATCCGGCGCCGAAAGCGTCGTCTATGCCTGTGTACGATAAGCCCGTGTATGACGACGACATATTCGTTGGAATTCCTGGCGTGAAAAGCTCCTCGTCGGCCAGGTACGTTGACGTGTTCGAGTCGTTGGGTTCTACTACGGAAAGTGTTTCGTCTCCTCCGTATGACGATCTGTTAGAGAACCTCGGAAGGGGAATGCCCGATGCCAAGAGTTCAGGCGATCGACAATCATTGGGGAAGAAGGATAAGGATGCCTCCGGTTTTGAGGAACTTTTGCCGGGTTTTGGTGTGAGCAGTCAGCAACAGAAGAGGTGATTCTTCTAACGTATAAGCTGGTTCTTTCTTAAATAATGTTCTATTCACCACATGCGCCTCTTAAAAATTGGTGTTAGGCTTGTTTTTTTGAAAAGTTTTCTTACATATCAACCGCCCAAAAAATGAGTATAACATTTTAATCACGCATTTTAAATATAAAATTTTAACCACTTTTTTTAAATGATTTTTCTTATGGGGTGTTTGGTAGCCGGATATGAGCAAGATTTACGTTACTTAAATTCAGCCAAACAAAAAAATCGTCAAATTTAAATCCAAACTTCCTTCAATTAAAAAATTCTTCCTTTCCTTTACTTTTTTCTTAACACAAATTTGGATTTAAACACTAACCATTTGAATTTGATGAATCCGGATTTACCAGATTTATTAAATATTATTTAACCTAAATCTTATAGGCAGCAAAACACGGAAAATTATTCTGTCAGGACTCTTAACGTAGAGAATCATTCGGAGTCCAATGAAATCACGACACGTGACGGTGACAGAAAAAAAAAAAAATGATCCGGTAACACAGAGAAATATTCTTCCCGTGTTATTGCGTGTTATTCAGATGTTATTGTATGTTATTCAAGTGTTATTGTGTTCTGAGAATACTCCCAGTGTTATAATAACACAATAACACATCAATAACACTTAAATAACACACAATAACACCTGAATAACTTGAGAGGAATATTCCCTTGTGTTACAGTACAGATTTTATTTTTTTCTGTCATTACCACGTGGCGTGATTCAATTGGATTCCGAATGATTCTCTACGTTAGGAATCCTGACATAATAATTTCAGAGCCAAACACACAGCCTTAAACATTTGCTGGTTCCTCTTAGTATTTTTTTGGCGTTTAGTACTCATTTGCTTGTTTGATTCAAAGTTGCACATTTGTGATTCTATATGCTGTTTGATATGGAGCTCATTTTAGGGCAGCCATCATTTTCTGTGTAAAGAAGAAATATGAAGAATGAATCTTTATCAGTTTTAAATTTGATGAATATATTGTGTTTAAGCCTGAGGAAATCTGACATTTCATATGGAAAAGAGAGCTTTTGGGAAAGTGGCTGAATTTTGGTACTTAATTTTGTCCTGGTAATGCTTACTTTCTTTTGCTGTTCAAAATCCTGACATGCCACAACTTTGATTTTTGTTAGAAAAATGTCACTTGCGGTGGGTGCACTCAATGGATTTATGTTCACAGGCAATGAAATTGTAGGGTAGCATATCTATATCTGATAGGACTTTTTGAGAATGGTCTAAATTAAAAAAAATTCTCCAAATCTGATTTAATTTTAAAGTGAATTGAGTGGATTTTAAGCTTTACTCCTGTCTTCAAAATTGAAATAAATTTCATATCAATCTTTTGTTTGACTTGGACTTGGTTAATATAGTTTGAATTGGCTCAAAATTTGCATCTATAGTATATGCATCTCATATAATAAATATAAACTAATATTTACAGTTTAATCAAGAATCTATTAAAAATTGAAGAATGTCAAGTTAAACTGGCTCAGCTTGAATCAATTTTTATTTTGAGTCATGTTTGATTTGTGCTATGCTTGATTGATATCATCACACTTGAAATCAACTTGATACTAGTCCTATTTGTGAAAGTACTGATAAAATTATTTTGAAGAACACAAAGCCAAAGCAGTGATTGTGTAGATCAACATAAGTGGCTTGTTTTTCAATATTTCTTCCCAGTGTGTTTATAACTACCCTCCACATGTTAGTTCATTGTTATTGCAGTTTGATATAATGATAATGTTGTTACTGTTTTGCTGTGTTGCGTTTGTTATCTATCAATTGATTGTGTTGTGGTTGTTTCTTATCAGTTCCACCAAACAGCAATTCACTATAATTAGGATCTGTTGCTTTCTTTTCATTTATGGTATAACACTATATTTACAATCGATTGATTTGTTTTTTTCTTGATATTGCACTGTAGCAAAATTAATCTTTATTATGTTTTTCTGACTTGCCCTTGTACAGAATGTGATTTGGGTTGCTTTAGATTTTTCTTTTAAGTGGTTGTTTTCTTAGTCACTCGACATTCCTACTATAGCTATTACTGTGCCTTACCATTTCTTGAAATTTTTTATGTGATCTGAGCTGAATGGCTTGATTTTCTGGATAATGCAGGCATGGAATTGTTAACTTGGAATTGTAGATACTAAGTTTGCAAACTAGATACTTTTACTGGAATTCAAATGTGTTGAATTGAAACATAGGATCTTGGGTGATTATGATAAATTTTTTTTATTTGGAGTATTTTTGGATCATAAATAGTTTACTTTGGATATGCAAAATAATGTTGAAAGGTTGAATATAATTTTTGTTTCCTCTTAATTTTCATGTGTGCTTTGGAAGTGGATTCTTAGAGCGCTTTGCAAGTTTTAGCGACAACTTTTGAGGGGTAATTCTTTTTGTATTGATATGAGGCATGGATATTCCAATTGGCGATTTCTATGATTATTTCATCTAAACTTTTTTGTGATTGATTTAATGTGTGATTGATTAAGATATTATCAAGATGGACTCCTGTTTGTTTTCTTTTTTTTGGTGGAAATCTTAATCATTATAAAGTTTTTTATTCATTCTTGAACTTATTGTGTAATGAAAATTTTGTTGACTTTTATATCATCATTTGGAATGAATGAAGTGTATTTTCTGATTTTAAATAAAAAAATTAATATTTTCTTAAATTAAAAAATATTTAATTGGATATTGTAATTTTTTGATTGTTTCGTCGTGCATCCCATTCTAGTTTTGGATTAGTGAAACCATGACATTCTACTTACCGGTTGCAATTGTGTGATAAGGGAAAAGGAAAATCATGGAAAAACACATTTTCATTATTTTATTTTTACAGAATGTGTTGCTTCATGCAACTGAAATTTATTTTCACAAAATGGCAGAACGCATAAAAATAACTTTACAAAGGCATTTTCTTCACATTTTTTCAGTGTCTTTTTTACAGTGACAAGAATGGCTATGATACGCAAAAGGAAGAACTCTAATCTAATATATTGTTGATGTTATAGCGTGCAAAATATAAAAATCAGTATTTGGAAGCCTTCTCTAATGATGTTTTTATTATTAGACCTTGTTCTGCATTTAGTGAAACAAAAACTTTAGTGCATTTCATGTTACAAATATCATATTCGTATTACACTTGTTAGACTATAATTTAATTTTAATAACATTTATTATTTTTCATCAGTTTAGATTGATGCTCTATCTTTCCCAGTTTTTTTATTGATGGTTTTATTTTTGATATGATTCAGAATTTTCATTATAAATATAAGAGGTAAGATTTATTTTGATTTATTTAGATTTTTTTGACTGATTACTATTCATTTCATAACATACTTTCTGTGTTTGAATATAATTTTAAGCAGTAACATATTTTATGATTTTCACGAATAATATCATGATGTAGTTTCTAAGTGATGTAGTTTCTAAGTTAATGCTTTTTTTTTTTTTTGCTTAGAAAACATCAACTGAAATTTTATAGTTATAATAAGGTTCATGTTTCTGACTTTCTTCAATTGTTGCATCACTTACCCCGATTCCATTCTCAAAACTATGTTTGATCTTATAGGCAAGAGCCCGCGGAGAACCACCAAAAATCAGTCAAAACCACTACTGCCATACCAGTAGATCCATTTGTAGATTTGCATGCTACTTCAGTGCATCAATCCTCTGGTTCTTCTGATGATCCCTTGGAACAAATCAGTCAGTCTATGAGTTCTGGAGGCACAAACATTTATTCTGCATCTGTTGGAGGAGTTGGTTTTGATGATTTTGATGGACTTGGAAAGCCAATTCCCTCATTTTCATCCGGAGTCTCTGACACAAGAAAGGATAAGATCATGTATGAAGCCAATCAGGACACTAACTCTGGATTCAATTTTAGTGAGGAGTCACATCAGAGATCTTCTGTCGATACGGTTGAAAATACAACACTTAAAAGTCAACCTACCAGAGCTACTGAATTTCAAAATTCTGTTGGCAGGCATAGTTCTCGAACGGCAAATACTTTTGAGCAAAATTTTGCACCAGATCAATCCTCAAACTCCTTTCAACATCCTGAAGCGGTTGAGGCCTTGTGGCTCACTGTTTCAGAAATACCTCTTTTCACCAAACCTACTAGTGCTCCACCACCTTCTAGGCCACCACCTCCTATTGCTGGTAAGAAGCCACCATTTTTCAGGATAGATGAACCTGCTTCACCTAGCTTAAGTGGCAGGAGAGTGGATACTGATTCTCTCTCACAGCCCAATCAAAGCTACTCTTATACCGGTAACTCCATAAAGAGATCTAATATTTCATCGATTGATGAACTTGAAGATTTTTCCAAGGTTAAGCCGCAGAAATATCCTAATGAAAATGCTGAAGTTTTCGCCTATGAGGAGGATATTGATGCAAATTTGAGAGATGCAATGGGAAAAGCTGAGGCAAAGTTTAGGCATGCTAAGGAGGTTAGGGAACGGGAGCGTGATGCAAAAGTTTCTAGAAATAAGGACCATGTACATTATCCAAGTGCTGAAACCTCAACAGCAGAGTCTCAATACACAGAAGATCAAGAGAAACAAGAGCAATTGGAACGAGAACTTTTACAGAAGGAAAGGGATGAGAAAGAGGAACAACAAAGGAAGCTTGAAAAGGAAAGAGAATTGGAGCGGGAGCGAGAAAGGGAAAGGGCCAGACAGGCTGTGGAGAGGGTCACACGAGAAGCACGTGAAAGAGCAGCTGCAGAAGCTCGACAAAAAGCTGAAAGAGCTGCTGCTGAGAAAGCACGTCAACAGGCAGAGCGACTGGCATTTCAGAGGGCAGCTGCTGAGGCACGTGAAAGGGCGGCAAATGAGGCAAGAGATCGAGCTGAAAAGGCAAAGGCAACTGCCGAAGCAAGAGAAAAGGCTGCTGCCGAAGCAAGAGAAAAGGCTGCAGAAAGAGCTGCAGCTGAGAGAGCTGCAGCTGAGAGAGCTGCAGCTGAGGCACGTCAGAGAGCTGCAGAAAGAGCTGCAGTTGAGAGAGTTGCCGCTGAGGCTCGGGATAGAGCAGCTGCTGAAGCCAGAGCGAGGGCAGCTGTTGCAGCAAATGAAAAGCAAAATAATACTGATAATGATCTTGAATCCTTCTTCGGCATGGGTTCTCGAGCTAGCAGTGCACCGAAGCAACGATCAGCAACAGCGGTAATAATCTATGCAGAGATAAAAGCTTCTACACTGTTTTATAATCTTAGGCTTTTACTTATTAGTTGTTGTTTCAGGATAATATTTTTGATTCACAATTCCAAAGCAGAGGAGCTCCGGAAGCAAGGAGAAGTAGTTCCTCTAGTTCCAATACCAACTTGAAGAAGGCATCTTCTGTAACAAACATTGCAGATGACCTGTCTTCGATTTTTGGAGGTATTCTACTTCATTAAGTGGAGTTTACATTTCTACAGCCTGCTGTTGATCAACATGTTCTTTATCAGTAAGAGTTACATGTAATTATCCTTTCTTTACAGCTTCTCCATCACCTGGAGAATTTCAAGAAGTTGATGGAGAGACTGAAGAGAGAAGGCGGGCTAGATTTGAACGGCATCAGAGGACACGTGAGAGAGCGGTGTGCACTCCTTGCATTTGTATCTGAATATTACTTTTTCCTAATGTAGGATAGAGACCTGCACATGTAATCTTTACTAGCTGCTAAGTTATATTATTGGAAGAATACTATGGTGATCCAGAGGTTTTGTATCCAGGCAAAAGCTCTAGCTGAGAAAAATGAGCGTGATATGCAAATGCAAAGGGACCAGGCAGAAAGAAATGTAAGCCTTTAGTAAAAATGAATATTCACATTAGGATTTCACGTATTTGAAATCAAGTGTGCTTTTCAAGGGAAAACTTGTAATTTTAATTCTAATAGATCTAGATTAATTTGCTAAGTTTGTCTTTTTATATTGTTTTTATTTGGTTCTTATGTACCATGCCGATCTCAGAGGATGTCAGAAACATTGGATTTTGAAATAAAGCGCTGGGCTGCTGGTAAAGAAGGCAACTTGCGTGCTTTGCTATCAACATTGCAATATGTGAGTTATTTTCTAACATTCTTATTCTTACATTTGTGCAAACAGCTCTCCTCTACATGCATCTTTTTGATGATTTATTTGTTGACTTTTTTCTTCATTTGGTGCTTATCACAATTCCTGTCAAGTGTCATGTACATAAGTAAATATTGCCAGATGTTAGTCTACTGGCATCTCGTTTTCTTCATTGTTCTTTGTAAAAATGGAATTTGGTCATTCCTTTCTTTGAAGTAACTTTTGTTTCTTTAGTTTCTGGTAATTTTGGGGCTTAAAATATTTTTTGCTGTTTTTTCAAACATCTTTCATCCTTTTTTTTTGTTTGTTGTTGGTTACCCTAATTTGGTTTTACTATGAAGAGATTGCTGTATCCAATTTATGTTTTTTGTTTTCCTGAAGCTATTATTTATTGCTCTATATTTTGTTCAAAATTTGTTTTTGATTACACATTTTAACCTAACCAAACACAGCTATGAATTTGCACTTACAATTTTATTCATCTTTCAAGAATAGCTGCTTAGTGGTGATGCATCTCTGTTTGATACATGCTGAACACGCTCTAGTAATATGGGCAACATGCTCTTATAATGCCCTGACTGATAGCTATTTTCTCGCCAGCCATGCTAAGTGTTTCATCCTTCAATTGATTTGGAGCCCCTCCTTGACACAATGTAGACCTATTTTTTTGGGGATGAAATTGAAAACCTTAAGGCACTCATCTCGTTGGATTCGAAAGTTTATCTCATCTTGTCTTCACATCCGATACAATGTTTATCGTTGGCTCACAAAATTTTACTAGTTACATAGTCCTAGGCTTTCTGCTTCGTGAAAGTTCATACAGTAATTTCTTTATGCTAATAATATTCACTCTTATTTCTATATTTCTTCATTTTGTACAATTCTGATTTTAACAAATATCATGTTTTAGGCTTATCTTGTCCTACATTTTCAAGGTTTGTAACGTCCGCCAATGTATTTTCGAAGATGTGTTGCACTTATCATTCCTTGTTTCGTTTATATTGATTCTTTATAAACATGCTTTTGTTTCAAATTAAGCACGTTAGGATATATTTTTTTTGACCATAGGACACCATAAAATTGTATTTATGTAGCAATTGTAGATCATTAAGCTTTGTACTTGCACATGAATAAAACTTTCAGGTGACGTCATTTGATCATTAAGCTGTTGGGATGGATAATGTTACACAATGAAAAGATGGAGAGATGCATATACTTGTAGTGTGTGTTTCTTTTGCGTTGCTTGCGTACATATTCTTGGTTTGTGTTTGGTGATCCATTATGACTAATTTCTAGGGATATCATTAAGTAAATTTTGGCTTTTCTGTTTCAAAGATTTATTTATTTTTTCAGTAATCTATTCATGCTTGGATAAGTATATCCCTTACAAATTATTTTATTTGAAAGAGCTACAGTGAAAGGTTCCATACATGTTCCAATGACCATCAAACAGAACTAGGAACCAAAGAAGTATATTCATTTATCTTTTTTCTAAAATAATGATGGCCCACCTATCAGCTACTGGATTGAATTTTCCCGAATATGATATACATTGATTTGAAGTGATCATATCAATCTTCTAGTTTTTTTTTCAGTAATCAGAAAATACTTCCAAAGCCAACAACTCATGCCCCACAATGACCTCTCCTCAAATTTGCACGGGATTTAGCAGAAGCAGATATGATTCAGCCGATTAAATATATGTCCAACATCCATTATGGTATCTTATGCACTAGAATAGAGTGTGAGATTAATTTAATCACCTAAATTCACCCAAAACAATATAATAAAAATTACTCATAAACTTGAGCCATTCAAATTAAGCGAAACTCATTCAAAGTATTTCATTTAAATATATCTATAGAGTATCTAAAAATACACTAAAAAATTATAACAAAAAGCATAAATATCATGTGTTGAATTACCTCAAAATTTCTTTATCATATAATAGCAATATACCAAAATATGATTACAAATTTTGTATTAATTTTATTCAACCTTAATATTTTCTTTATTTTTTCCGGAAAAAGTTTGTTATAACAGTTTAATAAACTATGATATTCAACAAGACAAATGAATTTAATATAGAATTCAAAGAACTTGGGAATTTTAATTAAGTAACATGAATCATTTCATTTATGATAATCATTGTAAAAGAAAATCATCTAAACTAAAAATGATCTGATAATAAAGAAAATATTTGCATGAAAGAATTTTAAAAGAATATTAACATTTACAAAAAAAATAAATACTGTTTTGACACATGCACGATTGATATCAGGCAAGTTTAAATTTTCACTTCTATCTTCATCTATCTTGTTTCAAGCATTATAGCATAGAAGGAAATATTTTTTTCAACTTTAGACATATCATGTACATGGGGTTAAGTACAGTGGCCTTCATATAAGGACTCATCTTTGTTGCCATAGTTATGTATGTGTCATAACCATATTAGCTTCAGGATCATTTTTCCTCATATGGGCTCACCTTTATTGCCCTACCTATGTTGGTTTCATATTCATGTAGGGGTTCATTTTTGTCACCTTATATTTATTTGTGGGTTCTTCTTGGCTGCCCAACTTGAGCAGAATCATAGCCATGTCATTGCCAACTTATTCTCTATATTATGGAATTTCTTATAATCAATGTATTTTCATTATTGATCATTTAAATAAATATGTGATTTATTTTAAAATGTGCTGTAAAACAATATATGTAAATATGCAGTTTATAGATACCAGATGTGTTCATTAAAAGTGTCACTAATTAATAAACCATTTGTATAATCAAAATGCATTTGACAGTGAGCTGCTATTAATAAAATTAATGTGCTGTCATTTACGCATGAATGGTAGGCTGTAAATGTATTTTCTGAGTATGAAGAATTTCTATTATGTCACACATATAAATCTAATTAACTATAAATGCACATACAACATATTGGATAAAATTTGCTTTTTGTATTATAATATATGTATAACCCACTTGACGATTTACCTCTTCGAGACACATTCTGAAAAATTCATATTTTTGTAAACAATCTCAATTTTACTTCTTCTCATACAAGCAAAAAAACTTACCACTCCGATTATAAATGAATTTGTTAAAAAAATTACTCAAATACAAATTTGAAATAATTATAATTTTCTTATTAACTCTTCTTCTTCTCCTCCTCGCTTCCCTGTTGTACTTCTACCTCCCCCCCTTCTTCTCCTATTTCCCTTCCAGATTTCTCTGCCTGCACTGCACGTTCCAGCCATCGTAACTCATGAAACAGGAGAGTCACAGGAATTAGGGTTGTGTATTAAACTAGGAAATTAGAATAGTTATTTAT